TGAAGGTTAAAAGACCAAACCCCCCCCCCCCCATGTTAAAGGTTTATTCAGAAGATCCTGCATCCCTCAGGAATATCGCCAGAGGATGGCCGGATGAACGGCCATATTAGAAAACCATCAACCAAAGCGACTTACTTCTGGAATATAAAAACCACGGCAATGATGATAAAGGAAATGAGATCAGCCATTATCCAAATCAGATAGTATTCATCTGGAGTCTGGGAGAGAGGAAAAAGAAAATGAGAATTACTCGTGCGTTATGTCACGTCACTTCCAAATGTTGGAGACTGTATGGATCAGAACAGCTCAGGTCTTGCAAACTGAAGGTTGGGGCTTCCTTTACTGAGTCAAACCGTCTCATGATCAGTTTTCCTCTTTTCCAACTGCCTGCAATGTTTCCTACCCTGACTGTCTTTTCCTTCTGAGTCTTGTCTTCTCATGATGTGCCTGTCCATCAGTATAAGCATTTTAGCTGCACCTAATGTAGCGTTAGCTGGCTGGATAGCTCAGTGAGTTAGGTCTCTGGCTGTGGAGCCAGAAGTTAGGAGTTCAATTCCCCAGCGGGCGTCCTGCGAGTAGAGACAGCCTGGGTGGCCTTGGGCCAGCTGCACCGTCCCAGAAGAAGGGAATAGTAAACCACTTCTGTGTGTTCTCTATCTGGAAAACCCCAGAAAGGGTTGCTTATAAATCAGAACTGACTTGAGGCACACAATAATTGTTAATCATACACTGTTGGGTTGATACAAAAATCAAAGTTGTTTTTTTTATTCCTTCTCTAAGTGCGTGGGTAAAGATGGGCAGAGGCTAGATTTTCAATGGAGCACTAAGGCCCCATCTTTTCTCCTTGCTTGCCTCCACCTTTTGGATCCAAAAGGAACACAGTTTGCACCTGGAAATGAATTGGAAAAGTTTGTCAATAAATCCCCTAATTTATGCAATTTGCTAAACATGAAAACTCTGGTTTCTGCAGAGAAACCACTTCTCGCCAAGGAGTAAATTTTGAGGGAGGAGCAGATCAATGTCCTCTAATGGGGCATCATCAGGAACCAGTCTTACTAATTAAAACCCTCCTCTTCCCTTGATTAATTACAGTTTTCAGTTTTTCAGTCTACAGAACAAACACAAGACTGGGAGTCCAAACACAGATTAAGAGGAAACCGTTTCACAGCCACTAGATGGCGCTCTGATCTACTAAAATAGGCTAAATCGGTAAATATCACAGTAACAGCTGCAGCGGTCAACTTAATAGCTTATCTGTCCTGCTCAATACACTACACCAGAGGAGGTGAGCACACAGGTTTCAGAAAACAACTGCTAAACACGGGCAACTCCCCTGGCATTTGCTCCACTTTAATAAAAATTCGATTGGTGATCAAGTTTTTGAAAATGCTGTAACCTTAAAAAAAAAAAAACAAGTTCTGCCCATTTAAAACAACCATAAAAGTACGTGAGAAGTTACACCCTTGGCATGATCCATTTAGAAGTCGGACGGATTTGATTTTTAAATCGTGGTTCAAGCTCTGACGGAAGCATGTAAATATTCAGCATCCCTGTCTCTACACTAGAGATGGGCACGAACCGGTTCGTCCCGGTGGCAGCACAGGAGCTGCTGCTCCCCTCCCCTGCCTCCTCAGCCAATCAGCCCCTCACCAGGCCTGTCTTGCTTGCTTTTCCCACCTCCTCAGCTAATCTCCCAGTCACAGGCAAGAGCACAGACTTCTCTGCTCCACCCTTTCGTCTGAGTGGGCGATCAGCCAAGGGGGCGGGGCAGAGAAGCCTGAGATGCTGCCGGGATTGGGAGATCAGTGGAGGAGGTGCCGGAAGCTCACACGCTGGGCCTGGCGAGGGGATGATTGAGATGATTGAGACAGAGAAGGCAATGAGAGGGGAGCAGCAGCACCTTGACGAACTGGGACGAATCGGTTCGCGCCCATCTCTAACCTACATTTTTCGAAGTCATCATATAATGCAAGACTTGGATGGGTCCGTGTTTGCTCCCTTAATGGATGGGTTTTAGCCAGGGAAGAACTCCTCTCTACCGAAACCTGTTTGGCCAAGCTGTCGGGAAGGCCACATAAGAGGTGATTCTGCAGGAAATCTGGAGAAAGAGAAGGAAAAAGGTCACATACCATCAGCCAGGAGGGGGAAGACATGCTGTTGAGGACGTTCACATTGTCCGAGGTGACCGACTGGGCTCCGCTGCACCACAGGATGGAGTAAAGCCACGGTTCGTTCACCACGTAGAGGTTAACACTCAAGTTGGCTGCTGTGTATTCCCTGTCAGGCACGAAGAGAGGAAAGATCAGAAGAAGTGAGGTGAGATCCTGGGCTTGGAAAGTTACTCTTAAAAAGTAGTTAGTCACTATGACAGTCGGCAAGCGAAGAAAAAGTAAAGGATTTCCCAAGAATTTTATGAAAAGTAATTCCTTGTGTTCTCCAGTTTCTGAAAAGTAACTGAAATAGTTACTTCTTGTTTATTAAGCAACCACACCGATTCAAGCGCTACAGGACTCTGGCACCCAGCCCCTCGTGTGTTGCTGAAGTGTCTGGAAGAAAGGAGCTTAAGCAACCACACAGATTCAAGAAACCACACCTCTGGTACCCATCCCCTTGTGTGTTGCTGAAGTGTCTGGAAGAAAGGATGTAGCACAGATCCTGAACCAGACAGTTACTTCTTTTTCAGATGGTTACCTTTCAGTGAGACCACCACACACATCGACCGCAACGAGACAGAGAACGTAAACTCTCTAGTCATAAGATAGCAAGAGAGAGATTACTCCCCTACTAAATTACAACTTGCAAACTTATGTAAATTTCCCTTCCTTATTAAAGAAAGGGTTTAATTATAGGTTGTGGGCTAATGGCAACACGTGATTTCTCAGCTCTAGCTGATGCCAAGTGTCGGCAGACTTCATCTGAACACAAAGGCTCCATAGGAAAGTCACATAATTACAGAAAAAAATTCTGCCCTAGGACCCGCTTGTAAGTAATTTGGGCTAGGGCTAGGATGCTCATATTTTAGGGTATTATTTCATAATAATAATCATGTCCCATCAAGTCAATTCTGACTCATGGCAACCTTTTCCAGGTAGAGAAGACTCAGAAGTGCTTTACCCTTTCCTTCCTCTAGGGGCGCTGTGGGACTGTACAGCGGGCCCAAGGCCACCCAGGCTGGCTCTTCTCCCAGGAGACACAGTGGAGAATCGAACTCCAAACCTCCAGCTTTACAGCCAGGTATCTAACTCACCGAGCCATCACATTTGGTTTAAAAAGGCTCCTTTTCCATTAAACAGGAGAAAGGCATTTATTTTTAAAAAGCAAACATTCAAAAATATTCACTTCCACGAATTCTTGAGATAGATCTTAGCCGACTAGTCCTCAGCAAAAATGACAGTTTTCCAAAAGCAAGAATCGTGGCATCAGCTTACAGCCAGGTATCTAACTCACCGAGCCATCACATTTGGTTTAAAAAGGCTCCTTTTCCATTAAACAGGAGAAAGGCATTTATTTTTAAAAAGCAAACATTCAAAAATATTCACTTCCACGAATTCTTGAGATAGATCTTAGCCGACTAGTCCTCAGCAAAAATGACAGTTTTCCAAAAGCAAGAATCGTGGCATCAGCACGTCGCATCAAATGGGTCATTTCCAATACCCGTCACGTGTCCTGGAAGCCACTCGGAGGATTGTCCCCGATAAAGCTGGCACAGACACTTCACGGAAGGAAGCAATCAGAAACAGCGACTCTAAAAACTGCAAGCTTCTGGCAGCTGCTTCAAAACAGTGTGCAAAATTATTTTGGGCTATTCCCTGATCAACGAAACAAAGCAACGAAAGGGGGGGGGGGGAGAGAGAGAAAAACACCACCACCTCTAAGTGTCCACCACAGCATCCATTAAAGCTGTTAACTGAAGACAAGACAGATTGATTAAGCATTATTAACGGGCACAAAAGTAATTTCTGAAATAAATGGAGACCTTGGACTTCATCTCAGCTCCATGGAAACAGCGGAGGCTGAGGAGGAGATAAGAGCTGCCAGCTGAAACCATTCCTGCCCAGCCAATTTTTACATAAAAGCTCTGTCATACATGCGCGCCTGCTCTATCGTAATGAGCGCGCGCCTGCACTTCAAAGCCGACCATGACCCCAGTGATGGCCAACATCCTCCTTCTGCAGTTTTAGAGTTCTATTAAACTCAACGCCTCATCCCCTGCATCTCACTCGGCAGGACTTCTTCCTAAGCAAAAACAGGAATAAGACGGCGCTTTAAGGCCCCTTTTTTTCTGTTGTCAAACCTGCAAAATAGTGACGGAAACCCTGTGAGTCTTAACTAGAGAAGGCCCATTTGAATCAATGGCCTCCGGAGGAGGTAACTCACCCAATTCCCCACGGATTCAATGGGTCTGCTCCAGTTGTGACTTACTCCACTAAGCCATGAGATTTCAGACATTTGAGTTAAAAAAAAAGGGAAGTCAATGCCTGCTCTTTGACTTACAGCCTGCCAAAAACGTGTTGCCTGTCCTTCATGACAAATGGGTCAATAATATATTTGGTTCTTTGATTCTGAGAGGTGAAGTTGAGAAAACAACCAATATTGCTGAAACTGAAACGTTCCTGCATTGACAACCCAACTCTAAGCAGCTGATGAACTTCCTCCTTCAAATTAAAAAAAAAACACCACACACACACCCCATGGTCATAGAAAGCTAGCAGATCAGGGAGAACAGCTCCTCCTGATGATGCTAGATTTCTAGATGCAGGGACACTCTTCTTTTTCAAAGGTTGGCTGTTGCCATTTCAAAAAAAACAAAATAGAGAAGCCTCCAGCCTTCTCGGTATCCTTTCGGAGGCTCACGTGGTGACAGGAAAGCTTATTTTTCTCTCCTCAGAAGCTGCTAAGGGGGGAAAGTCTTGTGCAAAACAGGAAAAGCCGAGAGTGGAACCTTATATCGTCGCCGTTGACCTTTGTGTACCGCAGGTTGAGTTTCCGGAAGCCTCCGTCCCTCAGCTGGCGAGCATCTCCTTTGACGCTGGAGGTCTGCTGGAAGCCGGGGGCGATTTTTTGAACCCAATGCCGCTGGGAGTCGGGCAGCCACATGACCTGGAGAGACAACAAACCGACCTTAATCAATGCGATGATAAATGTGGGTGGGGTGGGGTGGGAGAGAAGCATGCCCAAATAGTCTTGTACAGTGGTGCCTTGCATAGCGAGGTTAATCCGTTCCAGATTAACCTTCGCTATGCTGAAGCATCGTTGAACGGGGCAGGGAATTCAATTCCAAATGGGCCGAATACTCACCGTTCAGCGATGCTT